CAAAGAGCTCAAAAGTTTCCATTTTAAGACTAGAAGCACCGAAGATGCTATCAGGTCAAAGAAGCGTCAGAGAAAGACCAATTTCGCTGGAAATTAATTCGAATATCAATGTTATCCTGGATAGCTTCCTTGATATATTCATTCCCGCACTGGTGTTTTTGGCAGAACGCCGGCGAAAACCACCGTGTTAGAAGTTGTTGATGTCCTCTCCGCTGCTTCGAAAATCAGGATTGACAGCAAAGAGGATGTAGTACAGCGCACGTGATAAGGAGGTCGCCCCACACTGCTCACAAAACTTCGCTTCTCTTTTGAGATCGCGCTTCCCATTCATTTCGACTTCAACTTGCAACATCCAACCAGCTTCATCAACAACTTCATCAAGATACAGTCCCTGCTATGTCATGCGACTTCGAGACGCTTTTTACATAGAGATGTGAGAGAAGGAAGATCGCGCTGTCTCGATCGTCGGCGAAGGAACAAATTCGAAGACCGACGTTGACATACACATACGTCTGCCTGCTGGGATCCAAGGGATTCCATCAGAATCAATCAAAGTAAGCATCGATCCCTACAATCTCCACCTCCTCTTCGAAGTTGTTCGGCTCTTCGCAATGCTGTCGTCGCTCGTCACAGCTTCAAGCTCGCGAGTCGACGGTTGCAAGGCTGAGTTGTGAATTCACCAGAAGAACATCTCTCTACATCGCACGAGTGCGAACAGCAGGAAAATTTGCCCGATGGCTTGTTGATCAGTCGTTGACAGTACGAGGGATAGATTTCTGACAGCGCAATTGGTGTGGCTGCAGCGTTCCCGCTACCCCCATCCACAAAGCTCCATCGCCTTGGATCCGATCTACAATCTACCCAAGCAAAGAGCTTAGTGATTGATCGACTCTTCGAACAGCACTGTCTCCACCGCTTACTATGCTGAGCTGGATTCAAACAAAGCACGAAGAACCGCATCGTCGTCCTCGGCTCTACTCCGGCCGATATTGCTACTGATTATCCAGTCTCTAAGGAGCTCAAGGTATGTTCTCCACTGAGCCGCTTCTTCTTTACTAACATGCCAGTAGCTGTCAGTGATGTTTTAGACTGTGCGACGATTTGAATCGCCAAAAAGGAGATACTGCGTACCTTCAAGTTGGTTATCTCAGCACCCACGGATCCTTCTCTACAAGCTTTAGCATGAGAATGCTTATTTCCGCAATCGATTTGCCATCTCACGCAACCACGCTCGGACCCCACCACCTTGTGTACACCGCCACAGGTACTTCAAAGTTCGGCAGCGCCTGTTTCTCCCGCTTCATTTCAAAACGCTTCGTAAAAAGCTTCGTCTGCAACCGACGGAACTTGTCGAGTTCCTATGTTCGGAAATGCAACGACATGCTTCCAAATACGTCATCTTAACTTTCATCGAACTTAGCTTGAGCTTCCACTGAAGAAGCAACGACGCCTAGTCATTGAGACACAAGCGTTTTCACGTCCTGATCGGTGAAAACATTCTGTGCAGCCAGCCCGTCATGTAGCTCCTCTCCATTTCCTCGGTGCCAGTACAGACCCCTTCACAAAGTCAGCGTCAGAACATGAATCTTTGGACATCAGCTTACCGGGAACATTCCAGGCTCTCATCATGCAGCTCGACAGGATGGAGTCTTGCCGTCTTCGAGCTATCTTCGAGCCGAGCGATAGCCAGTGCTACTTCATCGGCGTAAAGATAGCCTTGATCAGAAGCTGCCACAATGTAGTTGGGATCTACCAGACAATCTTGCATTTGAAGAATGGCAATCTTGATTCTTGCGCATTACATCAACCCGGTCATTGACCGAGTCAATCTTGGCTCAAAGACCCCATTTTTCAACAAGCTCTCATGATGTTGTCCGACACTAAAACAACTTACGTCAGGAGCTTTCAGGAGGCGTTGGAGGCAGCCCACTGCCGGGCCAGTTCCCCAGCTTAGCTCCGATGCCCCCGATTACATCGGGTCAAAGCAAAGACTCGTGTGCCATTGGCTAAGCAGGAGATCGGTGGTGGATATGGCGGTGGTAGCTCTGCTTCTGATCGATACAACCCATCGTGGGCTGCACCCCTTGTGCCAGGTACTCGCCAACCTCAGCAAGCACAAGCACCACCATCCCTTAGAACGCAGAGACAGACTCCCAGTGCCCCGACTCCCAGTAGCCAGAACCGACCTCCATTGGGAAGCCAGCAAGATTCTTCTTCTCGTGATCCAAATGGCTCACCAGCAAGAGCTGAGCAAAGCGCACAGCGCACTCAAGACCCCCGCTACCAAAATGGCAATGAATAGCAGACGGTAGGAGAATTCCAAGATTCCCCTACACTTGGGGTGCCTGGCAGATTCCTGTCGAAGAAACGGGCCAGAGTGCCGATACCAGATTTGGTACGACTGGAAAGCCACCTTTTGGTACAATCCCCAGACGTCTTCAGAACAGAGACGGTCAAAAATCCGACGGACAGCATCATCAGCATGTACCCGGCCAGCAAAAGAGCCAAAACGCATACACTGGAGGACAAGCACCAGCTGACCGAAGTAGAGGTCGGGCACGACGCGGAAACCGCAGCACCAGCTCAATGGGCGCTACTGAGCAGAAGCCTCAACAAACGGAGGGTTTTAGTCGAGCAAGCCAGAATGCCGAGTCGACTCCAACAGAAGATGTGGTAACTCGCTATCATTCGGGTGCTTTCCAGGATAAGTTGATGAGCCAGTATACGCAACTAACTTGGCTAATACTGGTCCGGACGCGACATCAGCTGCACCATTGAGACCTGCTCTATCCTTGAGTAGGCTCATAAGCAGGGATGAGGCCTATGAGCTGTGCCCGACTTTCCACTATCACACTCCTATACTAGTGACTCTCAACATCGAGAATCCTATCCCGACCCAGAACCAGACAATACAAGAGGCTCGATAAGCTCAGGCATAAAAACCTAGCACATCTTCGACGTGCAGCCCGACTTTTCACTATCACACTCCTATCCTAGTGACTCTCAACGTCGAGAATCCTATCCCGACCCAGAACATGACAATACAAGAGGCTCGATGAACTCCGGTTCAAGAAGTGCGAAGACGAAGAGGAGTTTGAGATGCTAAGCATCATGCTGGCCAACCAGTGGCCACATTTTCGACATGCAGCCCGACTACTTTCCACTCTCACAGCCACACTCCTATCCTAATGCTAACCCCGTCGCACCCCCATAACGAGTCATAACAAGAGCAATACGACCCGCCATCGCCAAATATCGATCTGTCTCTGTAGCAAGATCAGAAAAATGATGGTGCTGTATTGCTGGCGGTTCTGGGGGCGGGGTTGAGCAGAGATATGCCGATCAAGGTCAGATGGGTGCTGGACTGTCTGCCGTTGAATACATTGGAGATGGCGTTGGCCGATGTTATGCTTTTGGTGTTTAGTCTGTCTTGCATCATCAAAAGTTGAGGTGCGTCGATCTCGTGTTGATGAGAGACGAACGTGGAAGACGAAAATGAAGATCTAGCCACCCAAACTCTCGCATCATCTGGAACATTAAGGTTCTGAGGGAACCGCCTTCTGTCTTGCTAAAAGATATTACGCCTTCTACCTGGAAGAGGCGCCAAGTACTCTTCCCACCCTAGTAGGAAATGGAGATGTCCAGCACTTGGTGCCTCTTCCCCGACCTAGGCAATGCGCCAGAGCTTCTACGACATATTCTCGAATCCACTCTCAGCCAGGAAGCAAGCGTTGAGAGCATGGAGCAGTACCTTCCTCGAATTAAGGACATCATCATCAACCTCTTACAAGGCTTGAAAGGAAATAATAGAAGTTGCGGCAGAAGCAGCCAAGAGATGGCGCAGTCCCAAATGAGATTTTACCGCGAAATAGCAGTATAAGTACCGTTGGGGGTGAAAATTCGGGTCTCAGTGCGCTTCTGGACCAGGGAATATCAAACAATTTCCAGAATGCCAGATAGCAGAGATAGTGGACCCAGCACTCGGTGTCTCTGTTTGGGTAAAAAATATTACGCCTTCTGCCTGGCCTCGGCGCCAAGTACCCTCATCGCAGAGGTTGGAAGAATTGAAGCTGGTCTACATGCCAGCGGGGTGAAACCAATATCATTCCTAGAGGGTCTCGGGCGGACTTTGAATGCACAGGAGGTGCGAACGAATTCTTTCGGCAGATCAATATTGATGGCCAGACTTTTAAGTGTAAGCTGGCATATGAACCAACAAGACCTGCAAGTCAACTCTCTTAGAGTCTCACAAGCACTTGGTGGATGGGACAAGTGGCGTGAATCACTAACACGGCCATTCCATCTCTGCTCTGGAAGCAAGATTTCAACTGCTCTTTGCTGCGAAAGGCAGACAGCATTCCAGGTCCAATGTCCAGCACATATTGACGATGTCATGGACATCCTGCCCTTCAGGCCGAGGAGTTGAAAAGACATCCATTCTCCTCGACACCAACTGGGATGACCTGACCAAAAGGTTGATCAAGCCTTCCGCCGAACAAAAATTGAAGTCCGAGACAGATACCGGAAGCCAATCCAGGCGCCTGTTCGCCATCAACGTGGCATGTCAATTGTCTCCGCTGGGAGCTTTGTTAGCCTTGTGGGTGCGCGCATTGTGCGAAGACATGACACCATGATCGCGATCATCATGTCAAACAATGACGAGAATGATTCGTATCTGGCCATAGAATATGAAGAAGGCACCGCAATAAATCCTGCAGATGTACAGAGGAGAACCAACTGAAGAGCGTGATGGAATGTATTTATTTGTTTTTGCAGATCGGAGACTGACGATTGATGTGTCTTAATTGAAGAGAAATGGCGCACTGAAATTGAAGGGAGAATGGAGGGATCTGTGTCGAAGGAGTGATAGAATAGAGTTCTGTGAACATGAAAGCGCTTTTTTCAACACGTGACATCTAAGCGGTGCGTGATTGCTGACTCGGTAGTACCGAAATACCATTGGGTAAAGTTTGCAATCACATATGATGTGTTTGTTTCTGTTAGTTTCTCTCTCTCAGATGTCCTGCAATGAGGAATGCAAGCTCCAACGCTTGCTTCTCATTGAGTCTTGGATCGCAGAAGCTGGTGTAGTTGAGTGATAGATCATCTTCTCCGAGACCTTCACTGCCACCAGTACACTCTGTGACAGCATCACCAGTGAGTTCTAGATGCACACCACCAAGGTAGCTCCCCTCTTCCTTATGAATAGCCAGGCAGTCCTGCAGCTCTGACAGGATGTCTGAGAATTGACGGGTCTTGATGCCTGTGGAAGTTGAACGAGTATTGCCGTGCATGGGATCACATTGCCAGACGACGCTACGTGCATACTCGCTGTTCTCAACTGTTCTGATGTGCTGTGGGAGAAGGGAGCGCACCTTGGAAGAGCCATAGCGAGTGATGAGCGTGATCTTGCCGATCTCAACCGAGGGGTTTAAAGTGCGGAGGAGAGTAAGCAGGTCAGAGGAGGAGGTTGTTGGGCCGACTTTGATGCCGATCGGGTTTGAGATGCCGCGGAAGAACTCAATGTGAGCGCCATCAATCTGTCGGGTGCGATCTCCGATCCAGACGAAGTGGGCCGAGGTGTCGTACCAAGACTTCTGGTCTTCGGATGTTGATGGCTTGGAGGCGTTGGCAGGATCTCTCAGTCTTCGGGTGAGACTTTGCTCATACTCAAGAAGAAGCCCTTCATGACTGGTGTAGAGGTCGACGGTCTCGAGAGCTTTGCTGGCGATGTCGGCACCGACAGTGCGCATGAAGCTCAGCGAGTCCGTAATGGAGTCAACGGTCTTAGAGTACTTAGCTTGCAGCTCCGGGTCTTGAACGTGACCAAGACCCCAGTCAAGCGGACGATGAAGATCTGCAAGTCCTGATGACAGCGAAGCACGAAGGAAATTCAACGTGCTTGCCGAATGGAAGTAAGCGCTGTAGTGCGCGAGGTTAGCAAGGGTGAATATGGAGACGAGAGGGAAACTTACTCGACGAGCCTTGATGGCTCTAGTTTTCTCTCATCGATGTCAAAGCCATTTAAGATATCGCCTCGGAAAGAAGGAAGCTCCTTCCCGTCAATGATCTCTGTTGGACTCGATCTCGGCTTCGCGTACTGCCCCGCCATACGAGCAATTCGCACGACAGGCTTGTTTGCACCCCAAATGAGCACCAGGGACATCTGGAGTAGGAGCTTGACCTTTGATTCAATTGCATTCTCTTCACAGTAGTCAAAGAGCTCTGCACAGTCACCACCTTGCAGGAGGAATGCCTTACCAAGAGCGACGTCGCGCAAACTGTTCTTTAGTCGTACGATCTCAGTCGGCGTGACGATTGGAGGGAGTCTTTCAAGCTTCGCGAGTGACTTTTCGACTTGCTTGCGGTCGTCGTAGATGGCGTCTTGCTTGATGGGTTTGGTGGTCCAGGAGCTTGGAGACCAAGTCTGGCCATCGCGGGGTTGAGGCTGAGATTGATGGGAAGCTCCATTCAAGCTCGCGGTAGCTGCAGCTTTTCCAGCTGAGCTCAATTGAGATTGAAGGGCGATGGGGTTGGTCATGATGCTTTGAGGAAGTAAGGGCAAGTGCAAAGTGGGGAGCAATGAGGTGCTTTGTTGCAAGTTGCGAAAGTCGAGTTGAGTTGAGAGGTCAATGTTCAACTTGATGGTCTTTTGACTGTTCCTCGGAAAAATATTTTGATCAAGGGAGTGTCTTGGTGGGGGCGGGGGCGGGACCGCTTATTATCCGCGCCTGGTTAAGAAGCGTTACCCCTTTAGGGCCCTAATAGTCCTCCCGCAGCCTGATCTACATGCAAGAAAATCGAAAATCAACTTCATCTGCACCTTGATTATCCTGCAAACATCCTCACATTCTCTTTCATCGACTTTGAAAGTCGAACAGCAGACACCCACAATGGCAGAAGCACAACCCCCGACTGTTGTTGAAGGCGCAACAACTGGAGACATCGAAGACGAAGTCCCCATCGCGAAATCAGCAGAAGACCGCAAAGCACAAGCTGCCCTCTCCTCCCTCGATGCACCCCGCGATGACGATTCCTCAACCACCAAGGATGTTGATCAAGATGCAGTACGAAAGGCAATGGACAGGATTGCTGGCAAGGGAGCTGCCAATGGCGTTCTGACAAAGAAGGAGGACGAGACGAAGGTTGCGGTCAAGAAAAATGTCAAGGTTGATCAGGCGGACGTTGCTTTGCTAGTATGTGTACCTACTCCCCTGGCAAGAATATACCATGGTCTAGAATCGTTTGAATTACCTTGGGGAACAAGATTGCGCAAGACAGCTCAGTCCTTCCCTTCACAGCTTGTACCCCTCATTCTCCAATCTTCTGTGGCATCCGCGTCGGCCTGGTACAGCAGTTGTTCTACGCTCTTCGGTGCCCAGGCACAGCCAATCCGAATCTCCTCGGGCTTATTTGCATATACTTCCTTTCATAAATAGCTAACAACTATCTCACAGGTCGAGGAACTCGAGCTAAACAAAATCAAATCTACGGATCTATTAAAGGCCTACGAAGGGGATGTTACGCAGGCGCTGAAGGCATACGTCACACGGGTAGTATAAGGAGGACTATAAAGCGATAAAAGGATGATTGTTTGCTATTTACAGCAGCATAGCGCTGGAGTTTGGGACTGTGGGGGATTTCGTGGATATGTCACAGGACATAAGATGAAAATGTGCTACCCAAGCCGCAAAGCGTTTGGAAACTGAAGCATTGCGTGCTTTCTTCTTCATGGTGATTGTTTCGCCATACGCGCCATTGAGATTGCCGTAAGTGCAAAGGTTTCTCAAGTTTTGCTTTTATGATTTATTTGTATGCTTCATTCATGATTCCCGCTGCAACACAAGTCCTACGTCCACCGCACCCCCATAGAAAGAGAGTCTCGACCGAAGCCTCAAAGCTTGTTTGCTCCCTCCTCCTTATTATGTATCAACTTCTCCCCGACCGATCCGATTCTGCACGTCTTCAGGGGCGGCCTGTCTTTGCAGGCGCCCTCCCAGAGTCCAACCACCAATCGCTCCGGACTGCACCGCACTGCACTGCACACAAGACCCCATTGCCGGCATCCATGATCTTCATCAGGAGCGGGTCGGCAAAGTCCCGGTACCCAGGCCCACGGGGAGCTGCAGCTCACGGGACGCTACACAATACAATTATTGAACTCTCAAAGGTGGTACGGTCCTAAGCCCTGTCGTGTCCCGTTCTCTGATCTATCTCCTTTAGGTTGTGGGATCTACTTGCCAAGATAGACATAATGAGCTTGACTATCTTGAAAATACTTACCTATATCCAATATAACAAGAGAGACTGGTAAGTTTAGGCTTCGAAAGGGGAGCGCAAGATTTCGTATACATTGATCCGTTCATTATCAGACACAAAGCGTCCAAATCCACACACAATGGCAGCGTGCATACTAGTACTGTATCCTCGAGTTTGTGAGTTAAGTGGAGTAGATATTAAGCTTCAGTTCCACAGAATCGGGTAAAGCTGTGCTACTTGTGTTGCATGATCGTGCAGTGCCGTTCTCCTGTTAAGGGAGCCAGAGCCTTTCCTCCTTCTGCTGCTTCGTTGAAATGCCATCTATCTTATTCGCTTCTGATGGTTGCCCCTGGCATAGGGCATTCGTGAATTGGAGAAGAGTGAATAGGGGCTCGCCAAGATCGAGCTTATTCGGACGAACCCGACGAGAATTTCCTCATTCGGCTGCGGAAGCATTTCAAGCTATTCACATAACTTCAGGTGCTAATAAGGACGATACTCACGCACATCTACCTTGTCTGTTCTTCCGGATCTTTCAAACTTTAACACCTTCGTTTTATACTGTTGAAGCCCAATTTCTGTTCCTCGTGGCTTTGCTTGCCCATTGGCATCCACATTTCCGTGTCGTTACCTCTCTACTTCGCAAGCCGACTGCATTTGCCGTTGCAGCTCTCTGTACGCGACGCGGTACTTTGCACTGGATGCACTAAATATCAACTTATAGCACCCCTCATCTGGTGTCGACTTAAAGCAACTGTGATCCTTTCGATCTGTCCCTTTCTCAAGCACTTCTTGACACTTCGCTATGTCTACCGCAAACAGTCCCCTCATCATGGAAAGCGCGGTTCATCTAGCCCGCCGCGGTGATGTCTCTCCCACCAGCCAAGAGCTACTCTACAATTCACTGGGGTTTGGTATCCCAGCCTTCATGTTCTTCTTCCTCCGGATGTAGGTTTTGCTTGCAGCCAATTCCATCTAAACTTCAGACCCAGTGGAGAATGTGAACCAGAGCAAATGCTAATTCATAATTTATAGCTCCAATCGAGGTTTAGTCATGCATAAGATCCGTGGCGAGGATTGGTGCATGATTCTGGCCATGGTATGCCCCTTAAGCATTGTGATTTCTACCACGTTAAATCGCTAACTGGGTCCCAAGTGCTTCTACACCACGCTCCTCATCTTCATCAACTACTCCTCCCCTTACGCTACCAACCTGTACCCCGAAGATCAAGCCGAAGCAATCTTTGCCGACCCCAAAGATGTCGCAGACCGTGTTTTCGGCTCCAAGCTCGTCATCCCCCTCGAGCAATCCATGCTAGCATCAACCTGGCTGGTCAAACTCTGCATCTGGACATTCGTCTTGCGAATCGCGTAAGTCCCTTATTCTCCAAAGCAGAAAGTAAAATCTCTAATACCCAGTCAGTGCGAAGACCAAGTACGAACGCTACATGTTCTATCTCCTAACCTATATAGTCGTCGGCTACCTAACCATCCAAGTCTGCTACTATGCTATTCTCTGCCGGCCCTTTCAGCAATACTGGGCCATGCCGGTCCGAAATCCGCAATGTACTACTTATTCGCATTACTCCATTATCCAGATGGTATTTAACATCAGTTCTGACCTGGCGCTGTTTTACGTCCCACTCGCGATTGCCGTGGAGGTTAAGCTGCCGTTCAAGAGGAAGGCATTAGTCGTTATCCCGTTCTTGATGGGACTTGCTACGATCATGTGCGCGATTATGAACAAGTACATTCTCCCTCACCCCATCCCCTGATCCAAGCTTCCCATTCCATCCCGCCTGAACCCCAAGCTGATGTTCCACCTTCGTGGGTATAAAGATACTACAACTTCGCCTCCCCAATGACGACAACGTATCAAACATGGTACATCCGCGAAGCCAGCATATCCATCTGGGTCGGAAACATAATCTGCACGTGGCAGCTGCTACAAAAGGTCTTCCACCTGCGCACCTTCGACAACAAGCACGCCGACATCCAAGCCGAAGCGCCGCCCTACTCGCCATCACCCTCCATCAGTGGACCTTCAGGGACTCACAACGCATACGAGACGGTGCAGAACTCAACGTGGAAGAGGAAGTTCCTCAGTATCCATATTGCCGCGGGCAATTTCATGGGGCTGAGTAGTAGGAGGGATGATGCGTATGCGGGGCAGAGCACTGAGATGACGGGGACTGGGACCAGAAGTGCAGATATGGTGGGGATGGAGAAGGAGGGGTTGGAGGGTGTAAGAGGAGAGCGGGGGTTGAATCGGCAAGTCATTTCCTTATCCTATCGCATCCCTTCGGCGCTCACTTGCTAATTGAGATAGATCTGTGTATACGATGACTCTCCATCGCGATGGCGATGATGCTTCACCATCAATTGATTACCGGAAGAAGTTCAACATTGCCTGAGCTTTGACGTTTATCGCGCGTACTGTTTGGCTTTGGTTTGATTACTTTTGAAACGACGACACGAATACTATGATGATCAGGAAGGAGGAACGGTGGAGAAAACAGTAGTGGGTTGATAATTCAACGTGCATTTAACTCGGAAAATATGTCGTGGGTTCAGACGTTGCAAGTACAACAGAGAAACCAAAAATAATGATAAAAACTAAGTAGCTGCCACCTCTCTGATTGCAACGTTCTCAGTATTCCCATTCTCACTCCTGCGATTAGGGGCATCTGATGTAACTCTGCTGGGAAGTTGCATTTATACATCAGTTTATTACAAACAGTGAGTCCTACGACAAGCCTCGCATAAACTAAATCTGAATCAAGAAAACTAACAGCTTCAAGAAAACAAAGGATCCGTCCGTGACAAATCACTTATTTTGCGTAACACCTCATCTCCGACATACTTCAAAGCTGCGCTTTTGATTGTAGAGACATGTACAGTCACGGAGAGCAATTAAACTTACTTTTCTTCATCCCCGAATCCTTATCAAGGACCTAATGACATAAGTGCAAGATGACCTAGGTATACTTCAATCCTGATCTAATCTAGAAGTTCCTCGACTTTCTTTTCTTTCTTTCGCTTCGCTACAAGCAACAAATAACTCAATTTAAACATTGCATTGCGTCGGGGTATCTCACGTGACGGCATGCAGTCGAGGACCCCAACAGCGCAACGGTCAAACACGAAGTAGAAGTGAAGCTCTGTTTCACTTTTCAGGTTTTTAGAAGTACTTCGCAATGCTTTGCTTACGGTTACGACGTCAAATCTACGTGAATCGGCCGTGACTCACTAGCCGGCACATGCCCTCGCCGTACCGAAGACGGGCTGGCCGGAATAGGGGTCCACCTCAGAAGGTATATATGAGACTCCACGGCACAGTTCTCATGATTTTCCTTTTCTTCTTTAACCAGCTCTCGGCTGTACCATTATCAGGAAGACTTTTTGCATCTTGTGCAAGTACTCGCTGTTTGTTCCGCGCGCTTTCTCGGTCCCACCTTTACTTGAGGCTTAACTTATCACCTCAACTTCTACACGCTCCTTCGACAGCATATAGTTTTTAATCTCAATTGATCCGGCTGGTCCACGATCCTCACATTCGCTTCCTTTCCAATAGGCAAAAATGCAAAGAAATGGCTTCCTCTCTGCGCAAGCGCCTCATGCAAGACATAGCAGAGCTGCAGAGCAAACCTTACCCGAACATCACCCTGCATGTGCGCGATGGCGATATCACAACAGCATGTCTAATCCTGAATGTAGAGGAGGGATATGGACCTATGCATCTCACCGTCATCTTCCCCTCCAACTACCCGTTATCCCCACCCACAGTTCAGATGGACTCTGCTGTCAAACATCCCAATATCTACGGCTCCTACATCTGTGCCTCCATCCTGAATACCACGGAAGGATATACGCCGGCTTACACTTTGAAGGGAATCGCCATTCAACTTCTCAGTTTCTTCAGCAGCGAGAAAATCGAACAGTCTCATGATAGATACGCTGTTAATCTCAACAGCTATCGAAACACGCAGCAGTATATCCTAGACACATGCATATGCGAGAAGTGCAACTTTGGCGTCGCGGGATCGAGGACTGGCAACGTACCGACATCTCGAAGCATCGTGCATTCCTCCGGTACGCCAGGACTAGGTGTTGGAAAATGGCCACCGCCCCGCGAATCGACCTTATTGAAAAAAGAGCGCGCAGGGGGAGAGGGTAAGGTCTCACCGGCAGTTGTTCAAAGCCCAGCGGAAGCTCCAAGGACAAAAGTACCGTCTGGCATTCAGGATGCACAGATTCCCGAGGAGATTATTCTCATGTTCTGCGAGAGTCTCGAGACGGAGGATCTCATGGCTTTTGCGGAGGCATGGGATCGCGTCGGTGCAGTCATGACCAAGTACGATGTGATCCGCACCCGAGAGCTGCAATGCTTCTGTCTCAAGAAGGGTTACGGTGCCAGGGACATCAAGCTCGGCGTTGGAGTTATGATCACGCAGAAAGGAAAACTTGGATTTTTCGAGTCCGAGTTCGACCTTCTCTCGCAAGAGGGCTATAAAGTCCACCAGATCCGCTACTCCGTGCAAGGCGTTCCATTCCAGCACTGGCTTCCCCTTCCAATTTCGTACGGGCACTGGAGAAAAGTAAAGAGCGATGTCTCGATATCGCTGTCCACTCTCGCGGTGCAAGCGAGGTTGGGAAGTGTTCCACTGGTCCAAGTCATCTACCACTTCATGAACGACGTTGTGGTAAAGCTCAACCGGCAAGCCTCAGACACCCCTCCAGAACCCTCCTATCGCTACCTAGACTCAGCCAAGAGCACCCTAACCCACGCCTCGGAAAAGGCAATCGAGTCCTACTTCCACCTCTTCCACCTGCTCCTCTGCCTCGCAACCTCGCAACCCGAAATAATCAGAGCAGCCAACAAAACCCTCACCGCCTTCATCGCCGGCCATACCTCCAAAACAGCCTGTCCGAACCTCGGCCACCTGCTCGTCGCCTCTCTGATCAGCGATGTGGAAATGACGCCCGCGGTCCTAAAGTCCATCATCAAAGAGACGATCACCCGCAACGTAGTCTGGACCCTCGACCCCACCGGCTCCAACATGCCAGACCTCGCATACCTAGAACCGTCACCCATCTCGCGCTACCGCCTACAGCGCACCTTCGCCGCATCCAAGACCTCGTACCGCCTACTCATGTTCCTGAACCTGTTCCGCCACGCCGCGGTCGGGACTCCGCGCCTACCGTTACTGCGAATCCTCGAAGCGGCGTTTGAGCGCCATGGTGCGCCGCCGAGGGCCTCGGCGCGGAAGCTGGCAGATGCGATCAAGCGGATTCATGCGGTGGATAGCTTTCCGGATTTCTTGGTGTGCATGGGTGTTGAGAGGCCGAGTGAAGAGTGGTTCACTGGGTTCTTGAGACGGTGCGTCGAGGCGAGTGCGGAGAAGGGCTATTCGAAGATGCCGTTTTATCAGGAGCAGGCGCTTTGGTTGAGGTTGAAGAAGGAGCCCGGGGTCAAGGTGCGGGAGGGGTTGGTTGCTGTGCCTGTTGAGATGGCTGGGAAGAGCTTCTTTCCGGGGAGAGGTGGACGAGGTCGAGGTCGTGGCCGCGGGCGTGCGTCTTCTTACTACTGAAAGCACAGTTATAGATGGGGAATTTTGATACCCTGTTTGCGGGCGTTAGCCATAAAATAGATGGCAAAACGAATAAGTAGGAAAATAAAATAATATAATCAATAGTCAAACATAAATTCCTATCTCGTAACCCAAGTAGAGCGTACTACTTACATACTTATCCGGTGAATCTGATAGGCAATGTCCTACAGCTTTATAGCACTTGCTAAAAGCTAGATGCTGGGATAATTGTACCCCACCCCGCACATAACAGCAGCCAGCAGCCCCTGAATATTTAGCGAATTGTTGTCGAGAGAAACTTCACACTGTACGGAGTAAATGAAGAAAGAAAACACCTACCTAAGGTATTTCTACCGGACCCCGCGCCCACGAGGTCGTATAGGGTGACAGATTCGGGGGCCCGGGTAGGAATCATAAAGGTCTTCGATCCCTTGCGCAAGCATAGTGCGAATCCTACCGCCTCGAGCAGAATAAACAGCAGAATGAAACGGTCCGCCTCGTCGAGATCCCTTGCCTATTATTCGGGAGTTCCCGATTGCAGAAGTTTACACTACGGAGTATATAGTGAGTGTATCAAATCTGATCTGCGCCGTCGCGTGAATGGAGGCTGTGCTGAGAGATTAAGGCTAGGAATTAGGAGAGATCCTTCGAATCCGTCGCGCAAGAGATAGTGTTGGCTCAGAACCATGGTTCGAATCATTACAGTAGGCTCTAACGAAAAGATACAGTGCAGCATCACGTGGCCAGACATCGATTGATCTCACACGCTATATGTGAAACAAATGATACGCCGCAAGTCAGACCAGTCCAGACCAGACCAGTCCAGTCCAGTCCTACTATATTCAGCAGATCACCAGGACTGCTGTAAAGATCTCCATTACAAAGCTTAACCGGACCCTTAGATCTACAAAGTACAACCATGCCAGCGCGTGATAATTAATCCATCCGGTGATAACCACTAAAAGCTGTCTCCAATCTATGCAATGCCTTCGAAGGACCTACCCTACCGACGAGATACGAGAAGAACAGCGGCTGCGCCACGTTCACACACACAACCACCATCTTCATCTTCATACGAGCCAACCAGCAGTGACCTGTGGACTGCCAGATCTAGTGCTCTGCTTCCTCTTGTTGCGTTTCGCGAATCCTTTTAGGCGCCTGTATGTACGTCCTCTAGGCTGCTACTATAATACAACGTGTCTATAGTAGCAAGTAGTCCGATCCGTAATCCCCCCATGCGCAAGACAAGACCGGCACCCCATGTTTTTGAGAGTGCGGTGGAGTAAAGTAATACGGAGTAAGGCTGGGGTATGCCATGCTTTGCCCAGGGGTATGTGTGGTTAACCCCCGCAAACCCCTCGTCGTAGTAGCCCAATCAATGGTGGTTCGTATTTGCACTTGTAAATCTGCTGTATCTTACTGAGGCACAACAATAGAAATGCACTTTCGCTTGGGACTTTGCTTTGCATGCTTTCCTGATATATGCTGCAAAATCCCGTCTTGACCGCGCCGACGAGCAAGTCATGGCATCGTTTTCTTTCCTATCGACATGTGCCTTGCTGGTGTTGTCGGTGAGTATTTTGCCTCTTGCCTCTTGCCTCTTTCCCTGATTATGGCGTTGAAGGGGTTTAATTGGACGGTGAACTCTTCAAAGGCGACTCTCAAATTCAACTATTTCCTTCACGGAAACCTTCCAGCACCTCTTCTTTATCTTTTACTGGCTATTAGTACTTGCTAACATCGGAATCGTATAGATCTGTAGCCATGTTGAAGCCGGATATAATCTTGACTTGGACTCCACAGGCGCGTATTCACTTCATTCAACCCAAACAACCTTCACAGCTAACTCACAAACCAGACTCCATCAAGTCAGTGGCCAGCACGATTGCCTTTGACATGATGACCTATTACAAAGGAAACCTTTCTGGGCAGACCCCTGGACTTCTACCTGGTCCTCCACCAAATCCCACCGTGACGAACGCAGGGTACTTCTGGTGGGAAACGGGGGCCATGTTTGGCAGTCTGATAGATTATTGGTATTACACTGGCGACTCGACGTATAACGAAGTGGTGTCACAGGGAATGCTGTTCCAGACAGGGAATGGTCATGACTACTTGCCTCAGAATCAAACAAACGGCATGGGCAACGACGATCAAGGTATTTTGCCCTCTGATTTCCCATTAAGATATACCTTATATATTACCAAACGACCAAGAAGAAACGACTGACTCGTCCCAGCTTTCTGGGGAATGTCAGCCATGACAGCGGCGGAATTAGGCTTCCCAAACCCGCCAGCAGACCAACCACAATGGCTAGCACTTGCCCAGGCAGTATACAATACGCAACTACCCCGTTTTGATGACCTCTGTGGTGGCGGTCTGCATTGGCAAGCTTACAATATCCTGAACGGATACAGCTACAAGAACGCCATCGCAAACGGGTGTTTCTTCAATATCGCCGCACGTTTAGCAGCGTACACTGGCAACGATTCATATGCGACGCAAGCAGAGTTGACTTGGGATTGGATGACTGGTATCGGTCTCCTGGACAAAGATTACATGATTTATGATGGCTCGGATAGCAATAACAACTGCACGATTATCAATCATCAGCAGTTTTCATACAACGCTGGGGTGTTTCTTCTGGGCGCGGCTACCATGTATAATCATGTGAGTTGGTTCATCTAATTTCAAGACACTGCTAATATATATCATCTGGGTAGACTAACGGCAGTGCCATATGGAAAGAACGAACCGCCGGCCTGCTGAATTCCACCATCAACGTGTTCTTCCCAAAAGGCATCGCCTACGAAGTTGTCTGCGAGGCCTCTCTATCACACTGCACTATCGACATGCTCAGCTACAAAGCATACCTCGTTCGCTGGATGGCCGCAGCGACCAAAGTAGCGCCTTTCATATACGACGACGTAATAGACGTTGTCAAGACCTCCGCCACGGCCGCAGCGCTGCAGTGTTCCGGTGGAACCAACGGCAGAATGTGCGGTCTCAGTTGGTCGAAAGGCACAGAGTGGGATGGGACATCGGGCGTCGGGCAGCAAATGGCTGCTTTGGAGGTTGTGCAGAGCAATTTGATCCAGCAGGCTAAGGCGCCGTTGACGAATTCCACAGGCGGTACCAGTCAAGGCGATCCGAACGCTGGGATGGGCAGCTCGTCAACACAACAGCCGGGGGCGACGAAACCGGCTACAAGGGGTGACAAGGTGGGTGCGGGGGTCTTGACGGCATTGGTGCTTTGCGTGTTGGTTGGTACGTTGACTTGGATGAATATGCCTGAGCCGATGGGGAAAGGAGCTGGTCCAGGACCAAGAAAAGGAAAAGGAAAAGGAAAGGAGTATCGATCAGTACGGGGCGCTGAGCGTTCCGACTATGCCTAGATACTGGTTGCAACAACAGCTCGGACAACAGAACCATTACTCTATCACTCGGAGCTAGTAATCCTGACGGAGTTCAGGAAACTATTCTGAAGAGGATCTAGCTGCTGAGCTCGGGCAAGAGCAAACTCTTTAGAAAGTCTACTTCCATAACACATTAGATCTAGACAAGCTGAAAGCTACTACTGCCCGTTTACAGAATGCCTCTTCAACAGACCAGTTCCCAAAGTGGATTCTTTCAAGCTGCGCGGCAGCCTCTTGAGCTGCAGTGAGCTTGATTTCGGGAGCAGATGGTAGAATCGGATCGACTGGGAGAACGTTGGAAGCAATTATAGATATATCTATGCGTTATTCCCGGTGTATTCTGGCATCAAGTTGCATTCCAGCATCATGTATATCCAAGATCTTGTCGGCGAGATTTTTTTTCTCATAGATACTCTCTATTATGCTCGGTGTAAAGAAGGTGAAGTGTGTCTAAACTAGAAAGAAGAGCAAGAGCTCCCAACTGTTGCTCCCTAGTGCCCGCTGACTAAGCTAAAAGACTAAAGGAGCCATCCACCTCAATTCTCTTCACCCCCACCGTACCTTGAGACCACAATGCCGTCAACGAAGCGATTTAAAGCCGGATACTCTCGACTAAAGACTGTTTCGGGCTGCTTGACTTGTAAGTGGCAACTTATTACTAGGTGAGTATTTATACTAACACCAGTATCTGTAGGTCGCCGACGTCGGAAGAAATGCGATGAGTCAAAGCCAAGTTGCATCGCATGTACTAGGAATGATTTGCTATGCAGCTGGGCTTCTAAGAAGTCAGATAAAGATAGTCCAGCACTCGTCCTATCCATATTGCATCATCCCCCACCATCAATCAAGATGCAGTTGCCATGTGCCAAAAGCGCACTAACACCATTGCTCGAGCCTGAATTGCAGACCTATATCGTCACATATACCATGGACGGTTATCTCCCAATCCAAGTGCACAAATATCCAGGTGTCGACCGGATAGACCAATCGCATATTGTTTCGATGAGCTTCTATTGCCCGGCTCTCATGGACATTCTCCTTGCTAATGCTGCGCGAACTCTGGACTCCCACGCCGCGTACTGGCGATCGTTTGAGATTGCAAGTTATATACGCGCTGTGCGTGGCGTCCGAGAGATTCTGGGAAAAGGGGACCTGGAACATGGAGATGACAGCTTGCTGGCAACTTTAATGTGGCTGTGCATATTTGAAGTATGCAAAATCCCTTTTCGTGATTATACGTTTCACTAACCTGCTAAGAATTCTAGACTTGACAGTCCATGCTCACAGAGCGGAACGCACTTGGCTGCATTCTCAATGCTGCTCAAACTCCGAGTTCCAGTTGATCGCATACAGTCTTCTCATGCCACTCGGTCCTTCGAGCGGGTTTGCGTCGAGTATTTTATTTATCACAGTACCATCATTACGCTGTTTGATCCAGATATGAGTCCAGCTACTAGCGTACAGCAGTTGCAAGAAAAGTTTCAGCGATGCTTAAGGAGTTCCAACAGCCCCCAGCCAGTTGTCGTTCAGTCCCCTGTGCTGGGATCAATACCCGAATTGTTTACCACAATCATACAACTCACTGAAAAGGCTAGACGACCAAGGTCATCTGTACCCGATTTATCTTCCTCTGTACGCTCGCAGTACGCGGACATGGTGAAATGGCAGCGCCGGCTCGACGAAGACGCTGGTGGGAAAGCAGTGATGCGGGGAGGCAAGTTATACGAGATAGCCACCCGCCTTCTATTTCTTTTAGCGCATGTTCCCGCCGATGGATCTCAACAGAGTGAGTTTGCATCTGAAGTCACAGACGCTATTTCAGAAGGCTTGCAACAACTCTTAGTCCAGCCACTCGGCCGCGTTTTCGGGAAATACTGGCTGTGGCCGTTAGCCATCCTTGGTTCGGTAACTACCCGTACAAGAGATATCAATTTGATCAGGGATAAGATGGATGCGATAGCTCAGAGAAGCAATTGCAATGGAATGAAGATTGTCAGGTATATATTAGAAAGTAACTGGGCTAATTATTCGAATTCTGGGGCTACGCCTTATTCTTTAGCTGGCTTGGCAACACTCCTGGACGGCGACACTATGAAAAGTACTTCATCACTTTTGCTATCGTATAGGGATCACACGAGGTGAAAACTATGGATTAGAAGTTCATAGTTCAGGCGGCCTTTCGATCTTAACCTCAACTAAGCCTATGAAATATCTGGACTCTGGACCTCTAGCGTACTCGACAGTCAATACCACCACTATTCCTTGATGGCGTTCAAAGCGATATCCCTGCTTCGAATATTCTCCTTCTCAACAAACTCCTTCAAATAAGTAGGCACCTTCGCCACAGCATTATCAGGCGACGGAATCGGATCCCCCATGACCTGCCACGTCGGCACCACACCAGCCCAAACCTTTCCCACCACACTCTCATCCTTCAGATCAAAACGGTCATCATGCGGGAGTCCGCTCCTGAACTTCGCACTCCCAGCATAGATCTTCACCCTCAATATCGTCGTAGATTTCATCTCGGCCTTCGTTGCCGGCGTCCTCGCGTTCTGCCAGCGCTGCGGCACCACAGAATTAGTAACCAGTTCCATAGCCCACACCTTCTCCTCCTCGCTCTCGACGGGCTGCGCGTAGCCGTGCAAAATCGCAGACCGGTAGTTGTAGCTGTGGTGGAAGGGGGCGAGCGCAAGCACGTAGCCGTCTACGTGGGTAGCTGTGACGCATACGGGCAGGCCGTCTTCGCCCCGCGCTACGGCTTCCTGCGATAGCCGCATGATGCGCGAGCTCACGTAGCCGTGGAGGTAGCAGTCTAGGGGCGAGTCCAGACCAGAGGAGGTGTCTTCGAATGAACCCATTTGCCCGATCATGGGGAGGATGGTGGGGAATGGCTCGGATGCATCAGTCGCGAAAGAGACGTGGACTACGGGAGCTTGGTTGACGAGTCCGTGGATGGTTTCAAAGTCGTATTTGCCTGAAGATGGATTTAGTGTCGTGTTCTATACTGTCCCGTCCGTGGTGGTGTATGGATGGGAGGGAGTATATACCTCGTTTTCTCAACCGATTCACGGAATTCAGTTTCGACTGCGAATACTCTGTCATATTGGCGGTATATATCAAAAAGCCCCTGTAAAATACCTTCTGACCAGAATCAAACCCTTCCAAACCATCAAGGACAGCGCTCTTTATAGGTGTGCGTCTGGCTGAATTAGCCACTCGCGAGAGTCATTCCTTACGAATAGCTCGTACATGATTCATTCGTTGTGTACAGGCTAGAACTTCCCTTCCCGGCTAGTCAGGAACTCGGGGTCAGAAATGCGATATCCATCCCACTGTAGATTCGCTCCATGTGGCATATTGAGAATATTTCTATGCCACGCAGTCATTAATGTGGAGGGGATTGACCAATCATGTCCGGGAGCGCGCTGTGGGTCTTTCCATACAGCCGCTGGCGGCGAGCTAGTGAGGTAGTACGACCCCACTTACGGAGCGGAGGAGCGCGAGCGCGCTCGAAATGCAAACCTGTGACTGTTATTGAAATGATATTTTGGTAGGCAGATACGGGTTTCTAATTAGAAGAGTTGGAAGAAATCGGGTCTCCATTTAATTGATCCAAGGTCGTGCGTGTTAGCTTGAAATGCCAAGTCCTAGGATGGAAGTCGAAGACCGGTTCTAAGATTCGAGTTCCTGGTTGTGGGTTTGTGCTTGTGGCAATAGAATCCTTCTTGATAAGGCGAAGAGGATAAATTTGTTTGTGCGGAGTAGTATGACATTCTTGGGAAAGAAAAAGTATATGCATATAGATAGATATAGATATATAGATATAGATATAGATATAGATATAGATATGCGCACGTGAGCGAATTAGAAGCAGAGCTGCGGGCTCAATGCAATATCCTGTATCTAATAACCTTGTAAATGAACATAAAATACGAGCTATATAGCAGAAGAATCGATGTCTGACTCTAAGCTTATGCATAGGGCGGCACTAAAGTAGGTCGTATGGCGCATACCCTCCGGGAAGTACCTATGTATCTATCCTCTCGTAGGGCTCCCGGCATACAATTGCTTTCAGTGGATGAAAAAAGCCTCTCATTCGATCCTTCTCGGTAAACGTTAACTATCTAGAGGATCGAACCTAGTTGAACAGCTCACCATCCTAGTGCTGTACAGAGGATTCTCAGGGCTCAACTCCTAGAGGTAGCCGGGCCGTAGTGAGCTGTTGGTGAGCACAGGTGAGCGTGAGGTGGAGTAAAGCGAGGGTGAGAAAAGCGGCGAGGGATCACGTATATCTTAGCTTGGCACATACACAAAGGCAGGTGAGGATTGACGTGGTATAACACAAATCCAAACATTTGCTGTTATTAAAACTCTCACAATTCGTCACATAGATTTGGAAGACTCATATAAAATCAATTGCCATGATGCATCAAAGAATACAAACCGTAATAATATCCTATATAACACATCCCATCCCATCTCATCTTATCTCATTGCATCCTCCTCAGCAAGCTCTCCAAACAAGTCTTGACACCTCACAACCAAAACCATAATCTAAAATCCATGGTCTTCTAACAAGACGCAAAGAATGTCTGAGCTTAGCAGTGAAGCAAAAGCGCAGGCGCTGCTTGCAAAAGCACAAGATAATCGCGTGAAGATGCAAAATGCTATTCTGGAAGCACAAGAGGCGATCGCAAAGGCGCAGGCAATTGTAGATAAGAAATAGATAGTACGACGACATAAGAGCGGAAGAAGGGGATGCGGAGGATATGTGAGAGCCGTTGGGTTGCTAGTGTCTTTTCAAGTACGCCATAACGGGGATCACCAGGAAGAAAGCTGGAAATGGGATAATAAAGGCAAACGAGCAAGGAAATTTTGCATCTGCGTTGAAGGATTTGCAGAGCACTTGTCCACCAGGATGGATTTGAACAATTCAATAATGCCGCTACCAAAAGCTCCAGCGCACTTTCCTCTTCCGCGAGTCCGCTTTACTAAGTAATTTCCAGCTGCATTAACCGCAAAGTTGTGGAGCTAGCTAGCAACTATTTAATCGAGACTTCTAACAAACCCATAACATGGAAAAGGAGTAACATACAACTAGTCCAATATCTGAAAACAGCGCAAAGCTCCCTATACCTTTTCATCCAAAACGTGTCTGCTAAGTGAAGCCTTTATGTATCGCTAATATGACCGTGAAAAGCAAATCTGCTGTTATTCTCATCACTTGTACTGTCAGACTTTAAAGTATGGTGTAAGTGAGGCAGCGGGACCGAGCGAAAAGGACGGCTTTGACGAAGAGTTTAAGCGGAAAATGTTTATGAGTAGATAAGAGGAGAAGTAAGGAGCTTAGTTGACAAAGAGCAGTGATATCCACCCCACTCAGGGGGAAGTAGATGGACAGGTTGTAGAAAGGGGAGATGACCAAAGTAGGCCTTATAAGCGTTCACAAAAGTGGAAATTGAAAGACCAAGGCACCACACAGAGTCTATCTATGTTTCAACTTACTCAATTGAGCTTCTTGTATTAAAGTACATTTCTGATCTGACTTGGGAAGTAGGCTCAGATGATCTTTCGTCTTTATCATCTCATACTCTCATGTACCCATCCATGACTTCAAATGCTTCATCAAAATACCCAAATCAACCAATAACGCCGACCCTGTGCACCAACCTCTTATCCACAAACCCTTAAATTCCCAATTAAATATCATCATCCCTATATTTGCTTACATGCTTAATCAAACAAGTCTTTAATCCAAGTGGGGAAGGAAATGTAGACTTCTATCTACTGTGGAAGCTTCGTCTGTGACTGTGAACGAAATATCCGCCGGTATATAAACTCCGGACTGCTTGGTTCGGTCTTTGATTGACCTAAACTGCTTCTTTCTATAGGTGTAATGGCCGTAGGCGAGGGCGTGAGCCCAATGTTTGATCTTGAAGATGCTGGTGACGTGGCTAGAACGTGGTCTGTTCGTGCTGTGACTGGTTGACTGCTGGAAAAGAAATCTATGACCCCCGGGGCACTGTTGCGTTGTATGTGAGAGCTGTAATGGAAACCAAGTCCCTCTACAGTCTCGCCGGATGCTTCCAGCTCCGGACTACTCTCGTCGGTGTGAGAATCAATGTCTGCGTCAGAGCCAAACGGAGAATGACTTGTTTCACCAGCGGAAGAAACATCTGGCACGGCAAGACTCAATTCCGGGGCCTGCTTGGGTGAAAGAAATTTAAAAGGTTGGATATCTTCAGGTCGAGGTGTTGGAAATGGAGATGTATGCGCTGACCGAGGGCCGACCGATACTAGTGGAGGAATATAACGCCTTGAGACACCCCAGTGAGAATGTGAGGCTTTGATTGGCGGTCTTGAAAGTATGTTCTGGTCTTTTGGGGAGCTAACTCTATCAGCTGCAATGGAGAGAGTCTCCAAGGCCTGTACAGCGCTGCCGCTATCTCTGCGCTTTCTTTCAACTCTCTTACTGGGGTTCTGGAAACTCCCTGTATTCATCCTCCGTAGATCAACTTGGCTAGGGCTGAATACTACTCTGGCGCGCAGTTTCTGCACAGCAGCATCAAGTTCCAATTCCACTGCACAATGGTTGCGTATCCTGCTAAGTCTTGGCCAAGTCGCCCGCTCACCACACAGGCAGGCTTTAAGAATAAAATGTGGTGACGGATTCTTCAACATGAGAGGAAAGTCTTTGTAGTTGATTTGTGGTAAAATTGTAATATCTCCCGAGTACTTCTGACTTAGTACTGATCTAAGTTTTGAAACCATGTTTGGGAAAACACCCAGTTCAGCAAGAACTTGCATTCGATGCAAAGCTTCATCTTTCGCGAGGTTGGTAAGTGTATATACCCAACCAGGACCGGAGTCTCCATCCGATTTCGCATCTTCGGTAATGGCTTCATCATCCTTGACCAAGAATGGCACAACATGAGGGTTGACTTGAGAGACAATGAAATGGTTGACATTGAACATTTCTGCTAACCGAGTCATTGGAAGGTCGTTATCAACGCTACCATCAATCCAGTGTTGAGGTGTTGGATTCCAGGGCGCGTGTTCGCCAGTGATCGGATTTTTCACAAGAAGCTGTCCAGCTGAGAAGAGAAGTGGAACCGAACATGACGCTGCCACCGCTGACCATATCATGACATTTGGAGAGGTTACGTAGTTGAGGAGTCGAGGAAGTTCGTATACAGAGGCAGAAGAGACACAGATATTCAGGATCCGCCGTGTCCGGTTGTAAGCATCCTGGAAAGTCATGTCCCCCAGAATTTCTTGCATGACTCTTGTGAGATGTTTAATATCTATCCAAGCACCTTGAGTCAAGAGTCTTTGTAAACGCTCCAGGATCCCATCCTCTCTCCCATCTTCCTCAAACACTGCGAGATCTCCATAAGGAAAATCTGCCAATACGCCTGGTATTTCCTCGTCCGTCCGAGTGCACAGTACTGCACAGACAATGCTTCCTGCTGAAGCGCCAGAAATTATTCTAGGCAGTAGTTTGGCTTCATAGAGAGCCTTCAGAACCCCAACGTGGTTCATCCCAAACGTAGCACCTCCGCTCAGTAATAATGCACTTCTCCCGAATGCTTGTCTGGCGTAAACAACCTGTTCCAATATATCCTTGGTCTCGAGTTCATCTGGTAGAATATGCTTGCTCATTTCAACTAGAGCTCTAACCGTATCAAGCGTCGAATCTATGTACCGTTCGATCAGGTCCTTCGTACCAATATGCGAGTGTTTATAGAGTCGGATATTCCCCATACCACCTAAATCCCTTGATAATGCCGTGCGGACGAGGTAAAGCATAAGCTTGACATCGCAATTCGTTCGCGCATCGTCTAGTTGCTTCAACCGCGCTTCGATCAACTCGGCATCGAATTCGGAGGAGGTAGACTCTTGTTTCCAGGCCTCGTTATCTTCCAGAATGTCCAGTTCCTTGGCTGCGTTCTGCCACTGTTCCATGGTGTCCGCATTCTTCATCCTCAGCGACAGGATCTGCCGCATCTCTTCCTTCTTGGCCTGAGCTCGTCGCTGCTCCTCCGTCAACCCATCACGCACGCTTGCAATAGTGTTATGGACCAGATTCACACTGCCCCTCAGGATGCTCGCAGCAGGCCACAAGATCCCCCATGTTTGTTGCGTCAAGGTGTTGCGCCGTGTCGGGGTTTTCGTATAGGTAGGGTGTCCCCTCACTGGCGCAGACGCCGCAAGGGCACCAAGCTCATTATTATCATCGTTGCATCGTAGAGGGCCTCGCTGAAGGTATTCTAGCAGCACCATATTCCGGTTTGTTGCTCGCCATGAAGCGTGCGGGTCGTAAGCATTTGGAGGCTTGTTTGTTATGGATTTGAAGCGTGGTACCGGGGCGAATTGATTATTATTGTCCTTGCCGTCACGGTCCGAGATGGGAATCAGATGAAATGGCGGTGTTGGACGTGGATGTGCTAGTACATAGTAACATCCGAGGTGGAGTGGACTTAGCTGTGGTGTCACGAGCCAGATCAGCATCGAATCACAACCTCGGGCTTCTTTCTTTGACCTCAGCTGATGGCTATCGCGTGGGATGTTCAGCATGTGTCTACCATGTGCGAAGTACTGCTACACCATTACTATACTGAGACATCAGACTGATGATCATAGTTTTTCTGCTCTATCTACGACACGTCATTCTACGTGTGCGTGGCATGTGGCTGAGGAATACCTACCATAAGTCAGCAGACCAATAGACTAATAAAACCGAATTCTCATTTTTTACTAGCCTTAATATATCTTATACCGCAAGTAGATATTTATAGCTAATCTTATCTCAGTCTTCATCTAGGTATGCTCATTCTCAATTTCTTATTACTCAAACCAGACAATCCTGGAAACGCTTTTGGTGGATAGGCTGACCCCGAAGGAGATATGACTGCTTTTTTATACATCTTAAGGTAAAGGACTAGCTAATGTTATTAATTTATATGATCCCAACTTTCCTCGTCCGATCCATTCCTAATACTTCTCAGATAATTTATGTCCATGGCAGATTAATCATCAAAGTCATCCTGAGACAAAAGATTGCAAAGTATAATCAAACCCTGAGCTCTCTATAAGCATCCTTTGTTCTCTAGAATTATCCTAATTTGCATATGCTCTCCTTTGTAATAATCCCAAGATGTCATTCTAGTCCAGGTCGTCACACAATTCTTTACTTTCTTGAAACTCTTTGTCTCTTGCTTCCTCACTTTGAAAACACCTATTCAAACACAAAGTGATTGGACTTCATATATTCCTCTAATGGAAACTTGTTATGTTTTATAAGTAAAGCTTCCGAATCCTGAGTCCAATCCCAACTCGAAACTAAGGACATATTTATAGGCTTGGACTTACACTTGGATGGATCTAGTCTTAATATGATCTCCCTAATAAGGTTAAAGCTTACTAAAATCCAATTTAACTTAAGTCTAGGTCTAGAGTTAGTTCAAGTTAAATTTTGACATGGGATGGGAGCAGTTTTCTATTGAGGTTTAGATAGATTCCGCTCTCTACTATAGATCAGAAATAACCTTTAAATGTCCTAGAGGAATCCAGCCATTTGCCCCCAATGAAAAGACTCATACTTCAACCATTGTAACTTTACAGTATATAGAGCCCTTATTTAGCTGAATTAAACCATAAGGAGAATACGTTAAAACCCGAATTTCGTCGTGTTTCTGGTTATCGGATCTACAATTCTTTGATTCAACGTTGGTGGCTTCTGATCTATGCAATCTTGCTCTCAACTTAAATTGTTCCGTCTGCCACTCTTGAGAATTTTGTCAATAGCTCACACTAGTCTCGGATCCTCATTGACAAGAAGACTATTTCTCTCTCTCCTCTCATTCTGCTAGAAACTGCACCACAGTTGCCATTATCTCTTCCCGAATCTTTATAGGCGCCACGATCCTTCCATAATTCCCTCCCAGATAGCGACCCGCGCCAAAGTCAAACTCCTTTCCATTCAAATCTGTCACCAAAACCCCGGACTCTTTGAGAATCAAATGCCCACCAGCATGGTCCCAGACCCAAGAAATCTTATCCTTCTTCTTTGGGATAGTTACGTTTATGTCGCCGCCTCCAACAGCAAGCGCAATATATCTCATTTGCGATGAATATAGATCCGTCCCTGGGAACGAAATCCCAAGACTTTTCGCTAGCTTCCATTGCTTGTCAATATCGTTTGACCTGCTAGTAGTTCCCTCGACCCAGTGCAGGTCCTTCACATCCGCACCATCAAGCGGCCTCTCAATTCTGCCCGCCGCCTCAAGTCCACCACTCGATATCCGCCGTATAAAGGCTCCCTGCCCCCGAACAGCAGAAAGCATCATACCGTAACCCTCCCGATCAACTCGGTCCTCGTGAATCTTGCCATTTTCAAGATTCAAATTCGGACATCCCACTACGCCAACCACCTCCTGCCCATCTTCCACGAGAGCCAAACTGACCGCATATTGCTGTCCACGCATGAAAGCAGCTGTGCCGTCCACAGGGTCCAGCATCCAAATACGTCCTGTGCGTCCACCAGGCCCGCAGCCCAGGTCAATGATATTGAGCATCTCCTCTGACGAAACCGGGGTCGACAGCAACGCATCTGTCTCTCGATAATCAAGATATTTCGCGGAGACTAAATCCCAAACTCTCTTTTGAAGTTCGACATCCTCGCGCAACGTGTCCGCAGCTTCTTCGCCAACGAACTTGTCATCCGGGAAGTTATGGTGGATGGCGCAAATTAACAGCGCTTGCGCAGCGAAATCCGCAATTGTGACCGGGCTTTTGTCACTCTTGGATATGGTGCCTTTGTCGATTTCTCTCAGGACCTTTTTCGTAAGAAGGGCGGCTCTTTGGACAGCTAGTTCTGCAATGAGTCGCTCTTTGCAATACGGAAGATCCATGGTGGTGTAGCCCGGCAAAGACTGTCCTGAAAGAATATAGGTCCTAGGTAGGCAAGGCTAGTGGGGATTCTTTTCTATCGTCTTTTCATATTCCCCAAGGTTTTTCTGTTCATTTTGACGCTAGTAGACGCCCGAGCGATGCCCGAGAAAGCTGACTCATGTCTGCAAGTCTGAGAGTCAAGACAGGCCACGTCTTTTAGTCGTACCATTTCTACGAATCGTCGTGGCGTTTGCTTTCCCCGTTACTTTCGTCTCGTCTCAAATTCTTCACTGAACCATTAAACAACTTAGTAATGGAGACATGAAAAGGCAGACACGTGCATTCATCGAGGAAGGAAACACACTCCCAAGGAATGGAAGCTGCTGAAACATTTTCTTGCGATACTCATTTGATGCTATTGCAAAATAGTTATTCAGACTTACAACTTACACCGTGTTCTTCTTCCCCCCAATCCCTCATATCGTTCTTTTTCCCTAGCCTGTCCCCATCTTTGAGCTGCTTCATTCGCCATCGAATGCATCTACAAACAAGAATAAATGCGACGCTGAAAGTGTAAAAGTCAGCTATAATCTCACATCCATATCCTGAAAATTGGCCTCGCTTAATCAAAGGGGTTGGTGCTAAGCAAACAGGAAACCGAGCGTTTCATATCAATCTGTTTGGTCCTAGGAACACGATAGGGATTGATTAACCGAAGTTATGGCATATGGAAACTCAGACCAGACCTAAGGATGATGCTATAAGAATGTCCTTGAATTCTGAATTCTGAACCTTGGAAAATGGGTGGGAGAAGTGGCGTTGCCTAGTGGAATCTGACATTTTGGCGCTTGATATTTCACGTGAGAAGTGTAACCACACGCGTGACATTGCAAGTACTGTAGGTAGGATCAAAAGCAAAGCGACTGCGTCCATACCTCATTGCATAAGGGGAACTGGCAAAGTGGAACATCTAGGAGAATTCCCACGAGCAAGACTTCCCATGCTTCCTCCCAAACTGCTTCGCTACCAGGATTCACTCCCATCACCTTCAACCTTCAACCCCCAAAACCCTCTGAATCCATCCCAGCCTCATCTCCAAAGCCGTCTTCGTAACCTTTGCATCCAGAGCAGTCACATCGAAACCATGCCACGCCCCTCTCCAAACATGCAACTCACAACCCCCACCAGCCTCCCAAATCCTCCCCGCAAATGCCACGCACTCATCCCTAAACACCTCCGCCGACCCAACATCAACCCACGTATCCGGCAAGCCCGACAAATCCTTCGCTCTAGCAGGCGCAGCATAAATTCCCACATCCTCACCACTCCGTCCCTGAAGCAGCCAGCTCCACGCAGTCGAATTCGTCTCCCCCGTCAACGCCCCCTCGCTCATAAACTGGGACGTGGACGTCGTAGTCTTCTGATCATCAAGCATCGGAGCTATCAAACACATCGCGCACGTCTTCGGACCATTATGATCTCGAGCCATGAGTGCTATGCCAGCAGCGAGAGCTCCGCCTGCCGAGAAGCCGGCTAGCATAATCTGGTCGGGATTTACTCCTAGCTTGGAGGCGTTCTCGCTGAACCATTTCAGGCCTGCGTAGCAGTCTTCTACGGGTGCTGGGTCTGGGTGTTCGGGGGCGAGTCTGTATTCGACAGTCACGAGGACGGCATCACACTGCTTGATCCACTCGAAGCATGGTTTGATCCATGTGAGGCGTGTTCCGAAAATGAAACAGCCGCCGTGGATGTAGTAGATACCTGGCCGGATGGTACTTGTTGAGTCTTTAGCTTCCAGGATCGAGACGACGAGTTCGCCACCTGGGCCGGGGATTCTGGCTTCTCTGTGGGATATGGCGGGATCGGTCAAGACTTTTTCTGGAGAATGCTCGGCCATTAATCCATCACGTTCTGCCTGCAGAGTTTCGAGGCTTAGTGGGAGTTCGGGTGGTATGTTCTTGAGCACTTCCCATAATTCTGGGTCGTAGGGTGGTTTGGTGAGGGAAGCCATGTCATGTCATGTACGGAGTAATTGTCAGAGGATGGAGCTTGAAAGTATCGGAATGATGTGAAATGAAATATGCCAGACAGGGCAGAAGATACGGAACGGTCATACGTAATGAGGAGGCCTACTTAGCGTCACTTTGGTGTGTCTGTATAAAGCACTATCAGAACTGTAACGGCGCAGCATTACACATGCTTAAACGGAACTGACTCATCAGCGAAGGGAACTTTCCTATTCAGGCAGTTACTTGCAGATACTGTACGAATTTGGAGGGAAAGCAGAACATCATAATAGCCCTGTAAAGCTCGCGCCCCACGAATTACTTCTACTTCTAAGTCTGCAAATATACAACGCCCGATGCATTAGTAACCCAGCGCTTGCACGCAATGATATTATATCACCCCAGTAGAATGGTCTTTAAGCGCCGCGTAACGTCATAATTCCGTAATTCATCACTGCATGCTCCATCAGATACTGATATCAAACTATTCTATTCAGTTTCCCTCAAGTTTCTGCTGTTCCCTCGGGGGCTTTGACTCGCCCCACTGATGCCAGCTGTTTGGTGCTGTTGTGGATATTAGAACCTGCCGTGTACGAGGCTTGAGGCTAATCTTACCATAAAGAATATATCGATCCATTGCTTCCCGGAAACGATTTTTGTATTCTTTCGGCGATGTAACCGTCGGCCGATTGCGACCACCGCCAGCAAAACCGCGATCTAGAGGTGGGTCAGTTTTTTGTTTCAGTGCTAAGCGACGTGAGGTTGAAAGAACATACCTTTGATCCAAGATTCTAACTTTTTGTCCTGTTGGAAGTGTTAGCGTATTCATTTCTACGGCTCGATACTGTAGTGAGTGTCATACCCAAGTATATGTTCTGACAACATCAATGATGCCAACGACAAGCTCCTTGCGCGCCTATTTTCTCGTTAGCTCAAGCGGCTTGTTAACAAAACTCTCGCAAAATACCTCGTCGACAGCTACCATCAAGGAGTAATCCATCACATCGTTACGCTGTAAAAACAATGTATCGTTGAAGATCGCGGATCTTAGGAGCTTTTTCGAATGCTGTTAAAGAATTAGCTGCGTGGTCGCGTGGTCTCACGTATTTAGCAAAAGATAACGTACCTCACGCGCGAATAGTGGTGACTCGTAAATGAATTCAACCATATTCTCATCCAAGAGCACTTCGTTTTGTTCTCCGGTCGATTGGATCTTTCGGTTTCGCATAGAACCCTTAAGATCAAAGATTCTTGTCAATTGGCGGTCGTAGAACAAGTTCTCCATAACCAAAACATCCCACTTGATTTCGGTCCCAGTGGCGGGATTCTTGATGATTATCTGATAAAAACCAAGCATTTTTGCAATAACCGTTGGAAGTTCGCGGAACAGAGCTTCCGACATGATGTTGAAATAGGCTGGTGCAAATCGCAGGAAAGCAGCCGTTTCAATGGGCGAAAGAGATTTCACGACTAGTCTGTCGTCCAGAGTTTTTAAGAACACAGACTTAGTTTTCCCACCTTTGGAGTCCCATTTGAGGCATCGTGACAAGGACTCAACAATGCGATCTGCAACGCCACATTTTCGTCGCACAGCATCAAATTGCTCCGCGTAGAAAATCTTGCATTGCATTCTGGCAGATCCGTCAGAGAATGAACAGGCCAGATGAGTACCTGTTTCACGATTCAAGGAGGCTTTAACATCTGACTGATCAATGCCGTCGTTGCAAGGGTCTGGTATGTTTGAATCCAAAGGAGTGGGAGGATTTATCTCGCATTCATTACTGGCTCGACCCCCACTGCGTATCTCCTCCAGTTTCTCTTTGTATGACTGAGATTGTAATGTGAAGGCGATGAGAGAGCTTGGTTCATCCTCTCGTATAATCACATCCTCGTCTGCAAATATGTGATCGCCAGCATTGATAGGATAGTCTAACGGTGCCCACCCACTTGCTGATCTTTCGGCCCAGAAGTTGGTCAACGACTTCATGAGGCTCGTCTTTTCGTGCTTGGGAAGTTCCAGATTGACGTCGGGTCTGTTGGCACCAAGAGCTTCTGCTAATTCGGCAACGCTAGGGATAATATCGTCGAGAATAGAATGGTCAATGTCACTGATTAAACCCTCGTCATCAGAGCCTATTTGACTGGCAGAGTGTGGGTTATCATCAGGCTCGGTGGCGGTCTCATCAGCAGTGCCAAAAGTGCCAGTGGGAGAGTGAGGTGGTGCATCGCCAGGAGTCTGGGCATTGAGATCTGCTAGGCCACCAACCACAGATGTGGGCTCGGAATCGGGATGGGTAGGGTGAACCGCCATCAGCTCTGCGTCACTAGGTCCATGTTCCTCGACAGCCTCATTAACGTCCTTGTAAACCTCAACGATTGGCTTTGAAGATGCTTTGGGAAATGCCCGCGCCTGGGTAACTTTCGCAGCACGCTGCTTCTTGTCACGCTGGCGTTCTTTCTCAAATTCTCGACTAAGTTGTTCGAAATGTTTGGCTAAAGTAGTAACTTGGGACTCCTTACGTCTCGAAGCGACCGACCTAGGAATTAAAGAGTGACCGGCTTTTCGATGAGCTTTTAGATTGCCCAAACCCAACCTTTCAGAGAGCTTCTTGTCAGTTGCTTTCACTGGTTCAATTGTAGTTGAGTTTAGGGTTTCAAGTGGCATTGTCGAAACGTCGTTGCTGGTATTCTTGATGTCTCTTTGTTTTGATGATGGTTTGCTTGCGGAAAACCCACGGCGAAGAGTCCCAGCGGGTTGCGACTGGGTGCGATTCAAGGGGGGAGATGTAGCGGCGCCACTTCTCCGTACTGGTGCACGCTCCGATGGTCGCGGAATACCAGAAACCTCGGATTGAGGCACATACGTTTCTTCAGACGGGGACTTGGCCTTTCTGCGGAGTTTTTCGACCTTTTCCGACAATGTCATATCTAAGGGTGTTTCTCCTGGTATATGAACCTCCGAGTCCAATGGGCTAAGGGTTCCTGATGCATCGGTGAGTTCTCGGGTCTCCGCTGGTTGCTCATTATCATTAGGCTTCGGGACTGCTAGGTCAAGGTGTTGAATACCCTCGCGGTCTAGTGCTTCGGTCTGTGCGTTGCTAGATTCCAAATTAAGAGTTTCCGCGGGAGTTTGGGTTGTTTGTGTTTGGGCTTCCAACGACGCACTTGGAGGTGAAATTGAGTGCTCTTCCACAACAGAATTTAACACATCATGCACTTGTTCCGAAGACGTATTTGAAGGCTTTCGAATCAACTCCAGAGAAGTTCTTGGGGATTTTTCGTCCAAGTCTGAGGCCATCTCAGGCGCTTCAGTGGATCCAACTGATGTCGAGGAAGCATCGCGAGTTTCAAACATTCTCCTGAGCTGAATGGCCGCGAGCCTTCTAATGTCCTTTTCAGAAGGGAAGAAGTTGGCGTCGAAATCTGCAAAGGCGTTGTCCCACCCAGCCACCTTTTCCTGCATCGCCCTCACAACCCTATTAAGTGGAATAATTTCGTAGTACTTCGATGACATATACCGATCTCTGAGTTTCCGAATAAGGGCGGCGTGTTCCTCTTGTGCCAGCTTGCTAAGTCTGTCCACCTCGGCCTTGCAAGCATCAATCTTTTCAGCGCCTACAGTATCGATGTTTATGCCTTTGATTCTTAAATTGACTGATGACATGAATCGATTCCATCGTTCTTCGATTTTTGTGAAAATCTCGTTCTTCAATTTCAAGTCATTGTCCACCTTCCAAGTGATCCTAGTTCGGGGTACGACGATTTCCAAAACGTCTATGGGGTCATAATGTATCCGAACGGCGGCATTATGAAACCCAAAGTAGCGCAGATGATCGCGATGGAGATCGTGTGGACAGTTACCGGAACGAGGACGCAGCTCACTGCTCCAGAATGACAACTCCAAATACTTCCCAAAAGAATATTTCCAGGTGCTTTCCGACATTGGAATGGCCATGGTTTCAATTTGACACTTTTTGCAATAGGTCCACATGAGGATATTATCCTGCATTGTCTTGACTTTGCAAGGGGATTTTTCCACGAAGACTGTGATCCGGGCTTCGCCGTGTACGTAAGTTCTGTGGTGCTCGGAGAATTTACGCTCACAATTATTGATAGTGCAAATGGCGTTGATACTCTCACACAAATCCTCCACATAGGCACCCAAAGTGCAATCAGACTCATACTCTTTGCGAGGCAAATCATACTCTTTATAGAATCCCAAAGTCAGTAGATCTGGGCCCACGCAGGGAATGGTAGTTTCTGTACACACAAGAGTGTACAAGACAGTGATAGTCTGATGCGCATAGGGGTCAAAGAGATCGAGATTTCCTTGGATAGCAATCTCCCACTGGCGCGTCTGAGTTTGGTAATTGTGTAGAGCCTTATCGTACTCGGCATCGTGTACTGCATGGAGGACTTCCATAATAGGCCTCGGAGCCTTTTTCAGTGTGTCATGGACCATCTCGGGCTTGATTAGTTGAAACTTTTGAGGCTTTGATTTCTCGTTGTTGCCGGTCTGGTCCTCAAAGGTGTCTTGATCACGCAACCTTCTCAGGACCGAAAGCCTTCTTTCTTGTTCTCTCGCTCTCATGAGCAAATAAGGCTGCACAAATTTGACGAGAGGCGAAATGGAAAGAATTTTAGTCTGATGCTTCGCTACCATGTCGCTATAAAATGTAGGCATGGGAACATCCTCAGGGACTTGATCATCGGGGGAGCCATGCGAGTGAGATTCGTGGGCCGAGACGTATTTTGATGCCTCCGTAGGCGGGTCCTCTTTAATATTATTAGCAGACTGTGAGAGATCGGCATTGCTTGTTTCGATGCTTGCAGGCTCAGTTTGAGGTTCGGGATCGCTACTAGCCTGATTTCCGTCTGGATTGCTATTATTCGAAAGTGAGGTCGCATCGGTCATGGCGTTAAGCCTGTCACTCGCCGCAGTGACAATGTCACCAGGACTTATAGGATATGGTTCTACTGACTGCGTCCCTGGAGGTTCTGATCTCAAGCTTGGTGAAAGGCTGCCGCTATCCCCTGCCACCGATGGAGTCATGACATACTCATCGCGCATCAAGCATGTCTCCAGCTTCAGGTTGTAAACAACATAAACCATGAATTCTGTAATCTGCTTCATTTTGGAAAGAACGTTCAAGTTGGCTCCTCGCAACGAAATAGTACAGCCCAGGTCTTTGGGACAGCCGGACAGATATATGTAAGTCTTTTTCCTCCCAGGGATGTCGTTGTGAACATAAGTCTTGACATCGAAGCCGGCACATTTTCCAATGTGCATTGGTCGTAGAGCGACCATATCTATGGAGGAAATGACTTCGGTCTGCGCAAACCGTGATACGGCTTCGATGACCGACTGCTTCACGTTGTACGCTACAGCAATACCGGCTTCATCGAGATATTGCAATGCTAATCCAGACACTTGCTTTTGGACTAGAAGTAGCTGAGGTCGTAAGGAAGCGATTCTATTAACCATATTTCTCAAGAACTCCTTTTCCTGAGCGATGACAGGCTCAAGGCTCATGAAATGATGTTGATGTCGCTGATATTCAATAGGGAAGGAGACGATTACAACTCGAGGATTCGAAATATTCCTGGGCATGCTCTTGAGAGCGAGATTCTTTGTGAATACAACACCCGATACATAAGAAGTATCGCCTGGTTTTCCACCAGGGATTTTTTTGACCTTGACGAAGTGTCGGATATCCATGTCTTCATCGAGCCGTACTTTAGGCTCGACATCGTCCGTGCACTGGAGAAGGATAGGTATCAGAGCCTTCTCCCAAGAGGCCATGTGAGGAATGTTTGAGTCTTGTAACAACTGACGTAAAAGCCTCTTAACATGATGTAAACTGGCATTGTTCAACTCGACGGTTGGAGCCTTGGTATCGTTCATAGATACACTTCGAGTCATTCCTAGTGCAAGAGTAGAACTCGAAGGGGACTCTACGAGACCGACGGCCTCCTCATCTACATGGCCAAATCTTGAAGGCATCGGTTGTGGAGTTGTGCGGGGATGGTACAAGTGGTTGCTTGCAGCGCTGAGATTACGGCGCCTACTCGGTCGAGAAAATCCGCCTAGAGACGTATTCCCAACAGGGTCATCTACTCCACGAGTAGTGAAACTAATTCCACTGACACTCTTCTCGCCAGTTCGGGCTCTATGTTTTTTACCGGCATTCATTAGTGAACCAAAGCCAGACCTATCATTTTCAAAACTTGTACTCATCATGTTACCATTGTTCATGGTAGCAAATATACCCATCTGTTCATCTGCACTTGAGCCTTCATCAGACATATAAGGCTCCAGGTCTGGATCAATGATATTGTCGTCGTGGAAGGCCGGCAAGTGTGATTTCTTTCCCGCATCTTCAGATGCCCCGCGGTGAAAGGGTGCACTTTCCTCTGCGGTCGGTTTGAACCGACCAAGGAAATTATGCTTAGACTGATGCCTTTTGTGACCCGACGACGCAGGACGTCCTGAAGTCGAAAGGGGTTTTAGAGACCTTGCAGAACCTGGCCTACTGAGCTGGGGGGCGTCTATTTCTAAGATAGCCGATCTTCGGTTGGCTGAATCCCCAATTCTGCGGGTTGCCGGGATGGCCATCATCGGGGTCGGTAGTGGCGTTTTCCTGGCATCTTCCGATGCTCTGTTAGAGGTAGTCTCTGGAGCTTCGATCTTGCTCGCTGAATCAAACTTTGCCTGCTGGGACTGGAAAAAGGTGGGCAGAGAGGAGTCATGATCAGAATCCTCAGACCCACTGCTGTCATGCCGTCTGTTGATAATGTTGAGACACGTCTTGCAGACTCTCAGATTACCTTGAACACCAAAACGCTGCCCGGAGATTATAGAAGTACATTTCGCGTCGAATATGCACCCACATGTCCGGCAGTGATGTTTTCTTCGAAAGGCAGAGAATGTATCCCCACAAAGAAAACATTCTTTGCAAATATCGTCTGCCATCCAGAACTCTTTGCTCAGAACTTGCTTCCTCATCTGCTCTAGTCTCGTGTTGACAGCTTCTGGAGCCCCCTCATTTAAAGTAGTGCCAGGAATTCGCCGCATTCCAGAATACCTTGTGTGAGGGCCATTGTCAGCAAATGACTCGTGACGCACACTGTTATGCGCGGAGGTATTGATAGGGGTGGCCTCTGCAGTGCTGCGATCAGTTGATGATCCTCTGGACGCTTGATATCCTGGCAAATGAGACTGGGTGATACGTTCAATGGCAGTTGGCCGTTTCAAGCCTTCAGGAAGTGTAATTCGATTCGGGGGCTTTGCTCGGGTAGATTCGTTAGCGTGCAAGGAGGATAATGCTGTCGATGCACTCTTAATGCTACCACTAGGTACTCTGCGCAGTTCAGCACCATCAAGTCCAGCTAGTGATTGCGATTCTTGCACGGCGTGCGGCTCCACATCACCACCTTCGTCGTCGGAATTGTCCGAGTCATCAGCGAGAGACGCACGTTTGCTGTGGCGTGATTCGCCAAACCCAAATACTGACTGTTCATAGATGCTGGATGCTGCAGTGGAAGGCGCGGTGTCAGTCTTTTGGTTCTCGGTGACCGTTCGGCCTCTTTCACCATCCTTGAATGCATTTACGTTGACCGGGGCAAGAGTGGGAACAACGGCAGAAGATGCAGTAGCCTTATTCATGGGTTGAATAGAAGGTCTACTGGAGGTAGCAGACTTGGACGTTGCAGGCGTGGACATGAGAGACGTTTTGGAGGATTTCATAGCCTGAGACTGGCTCTCAGAAGAATGGCCCGTAAAAGACGAAACTGTTGTGGGCGATTGGAGCTGGGAGGAAGCTGCAGAGAGTTGAATAGGAGACGCGAGAGCTCCGCTATCTTCTCTCGTTGGACCTATGGAAGCCTTTGAGGTAGGCCTGACACTTGCCTGGCTCTTCGTAGAGGCGATGGAGGCAACTTCCGCGGGATCATGGTCATTTTTGTTCGATGCCGTAGTCGCCTTATCTTTCCCACCCCCAACAGCACCTCTAAACCGACTGTATAGTCCACTTAAACCATTTTGCATGATATCTCCGCTTATACCCTTGCTTTCGGTGTGGGAAGAGGAAGCAGGAGGAGAGGCGAACTCGTTGAACGTTGTAAGGGTTTCGGAGTGGCTTGCCTTGCTATGTATCTGATCTAAAGCCTTGGATAACTGCTCTTTGTCTATTGGGGCTGACCCCGAAAGCGAATCCAACGAGCCGCGACGTGATCGGAGGCCTAGGGGGAGCAGAGATGCAGGTCTAGGAGAATTGTTGTTAGACATGGTCTAGGTTGTGCTGTGTATTCGATCAACAGTAGAGGCTCAGTCCGCCAAAGGCTTTACCCATCAAATCGAATTTCTTGTTGATGCTTCAGTTTAGATTTGGGGTCGGGGATGTGCTACCGCAGGACAGCTGTGGTAGGAACATATCACCAAGTCTAGGATGCACAAGGATTCGAGGGAGGTAGTGGGGTGGGGTTGCACTGTTCAACTCCATGTCAGCCATGAATTGCAACACGAGTACGAGAGACGAGGTGCAAGTACAGGTAGTCCGGTCTGGATAGTTGGCAAGGAGGGCAGCTCTTGCATAGACTCTTGGTTCAGAAGCATTTGTAGAAAGTTGAAGCCATCTAGAGAAGTGTAGCTCAGACTGGCATTTGTAGGCGGAGTGGCGGTTTCATGGGTTGTTAGAGTAGAGCAAAGCGATTGCAGTTGCCTTGTACCATCAAGGGGACGGAACGGAGCTGTTAGATGTACTTTGGATAAGATGTGGATGTGGATGTCAATGTTGATATTCTTCGAGTCTTATCCGCCTACAGCACTCTATCGCCATGTCATCAGACAGCGCACCGCCACAGTCAATTCTCTCTGGTCCAAGCTCCAGTCGCGTATACGGAGGTAGGTACTTGACGCGTCGCTCAATACTGCATCAAGAAAATCACCACGACCAGATACTCGTGACCACGTAATTTTGGGCTTATTACATCTGATTGTTTATTGCTCTTCTCGTGCTCTACTATCCTATCTTGTGATGAATCTCGAAAACAGCATTGGTCCCCCCTCGTTGGAAGGTTGTTGATCCAACGAACGCGCGATCCAAATCCCTTGATACTGTAGTCAACGGCCACGCCAGGACCCAAGATGTCTACTTTAATGCGGAGTTGGATCGACGCAGTGGTGGAAGAAGAGCTCCCCGTGGCAGCCGAATGCTTCAAAGGGAAGTCTCTTGCTCGTGGTCCTGTGCGCAGCGATCGTCGTCTTTGGGATGCCCATGGTCTCACAATAGAGCTTCATAGAGGACGACATCTACAAGTGCTTGAGGTGAGATCGCTGTTTTTTTGCCCTTTCACTTCTTCGTCTTCTTCTTTTCTCCATGTTGATCAAAACTTACATAAAAATAGGTTAAAGAAAACAAAAAGACTTGTCAGGCTATGGTCTCAGATGGTACATCGTTGATCGCAGCCACTTTTGACCGTACAGCTACGGATTCATTTGAAAAACTGCACGGACGAGCCTTCAAAGACTGCTCTCGCGGGTCTATTATTAGCACCAAGAAATACAAACTAGTAAGTACTATCTTGCAATTGAGATGGTTGTCGATGCTAACTTAGATTCACGATCTTCAATCCAAACTCTGCAACTTCGGAGCGTTTGTTCTTAGAGATCTCGGATTTTAGACTCCAGGGTAGTGAAGGATCCCCAGCTTTTGGAAAACCCAAGGACATACTGAAGCAGTCGGGTATCCAAGCCGTGCTTTCTGATATGAAAGGGTTATTTCCTCCTAGGTCTTCCGTTGCACCTGTATCTCGACCTGTATCTCCTGTTCAATCACAGGTAAAGAATGCCCGTAGCCTTTCTCCTGTTATAGCAACTCAAGCTGAGTTTGCCAGTCAAGTTCCATACTTGGTGCCGAAGAAGCAAACAGCTGCCATCAAAAGTATGGATTCGGAACGTCGCCTGTCGGAGAGGGAAAGCATTTTAAGTCTCCTGAAAAAGCCAAACAAGAATCCTGTACCTATCCTTCAAGACGCGTCCAACGCACGTCCGTTGACCTCTGCATCTGCCACGAAAAGCACGCGCAAAGAGTCGGTCTTGTCGGAGGCGTCACCTGATAAAGTTCTGGGGATGAGTTCGAAGCTCGAGGCAAAGGCAAATTCTCAGCGAAGTCATGTTTCATCCTCCTCTCAAGCGACACCAAGTTCCACCAGCAAAATATTTTCTCCTCTACCAGCAGATGATAAAATCGATACCGGAATTCACGTTGCGTCTCCCGACAGTGAAAAGGAAAACAGCCAAGAAAGTGCAAAGAGAAAGAACGGATTCGCTGCCAAACCCAATGCTCAGCTTACAAATGAACCAAAACAATCAACTGGCACGGCTTCGCCAAAACCACGGGCAACACAGTTCGTCGATCAGTTCCCAAACGGTGATATATTCGAAGGCTTGAAGCGCGTACCACGAAAATATGTTCGGATGTCGAAGGCGCAGCAGAGCCTTTTGGAACGCAGTGACGCTTGGTTCGATCCAAATACTGATCCCAAGAAATCGTACGCGCTCATTCCTCCGAAAGTGCATGAAGATTTGACGCGGTTTATCAATCAGAAGCCAGCTCTAGACTTAGAAAGCCAGCGCGAGCAACCTGAGTCTGGAACCGATGAATCCGAAAGTAGCTCTGATAGCGACATTGAAAGTCGAAAGGGGCATGTTGGGGATCAACTAAGCGATGAGGAAGACAAAGAACAAAGCCCCTGGTCCCCTAGTCCAGAACGAGAGCTCTTGATAAAGACTTCCTTGAATAATAACTCACAGAAACCATCGAGTCACAAGCAGAGAGACATCGACACCAAAACTATAGACGATGAATACGACCTCGAAGCTGGTTCTGTCAAGGAAGACGCCGCGTCTCCAGCATCACTTCCGGCTGCTTTACGTGACGGGCATGAGCAGAACCTCCCATCCCGCCAAATAAGTAGATTGCCAATCATGGTGTCCAGTAGCCCTACACCGGAAGATGAACTCGAACTCGACGAATTACATGCCGTGGGAGATGAAGTTGATGGTTCTCTGGAGGCCGAACAGGTTCCAAGAACATCTCAAGAGGTTCCATCAACCGCTCTTCAGAACCAGCGGCTGGTGCAAGTCGAGCGAACACCAGATGTCAGGTTCTATGACGACCTTCATACAAGATCCAGTTCGGATCCAGTGATTATGCCTCGGAAACGATCAAAATATGGCCCTACTAGTAGCCATTTAGAGGAGACAATTCCTGCTACGTGTAAAGAACCAACTCCTAGATGTTCCAAGACAGTCCCCTCCTCGATCGAATCAAAGTCCTCTATAAGCATGAACAGCATACGCAAGAGCGTGCCTTCTCAACTCAGCAACCCGGAAAATGTTCAAAATGCCGCCCTGGATGAGGATCAGGAATCCGATGAGGAGACCATGGCACAAGAACAGGCTTTCGCGGAATTCCAAAACTCACAGCCTCAAAGTAGTGAAATCATAATTTCATCTCCATTCAAACCCTCAGCAACGATGACAGACGCAGAGAAATCCAACGTAACCAAACCGAAAGTAAATGCAACCTCCCCTCAAAACCATTCACCTCTGAAGCGATCTCATCGGATTACATCCTCGCCGATGACAAGTCCCAGTCGGTCAGACGACAGAGTCTTCGAAGAACAAACGAAGATGATGCGACAGAATCCCGAGCCTGCCATGAAGAGACACCAAGGAGAGGAGAATGCGAAAGATGCTGCAGGAAATGGGGGAATTCGTACGAGACATGAAGCTATAGTTTCTTCCCCAGATCGCACTGAAGGATCTACGAGAAATCAGCGAATCCGTACCAACCTCAGAGCTATGAGCTCTCCAGATAGCACGGGAAACCAAAAAGATGTTCCTTCAGTACAAGTGCCCGAGGCCCAGAGGACTTTGCATAGCAAAATGTTAACCGATAGGACACAGCCTCTGAAGCGGATTAGTGATGTCCCAGGATTCAAGAATCGACAGCAATTGAAAAAAAGGCGTTACGCAGCTGCAGCTGCTGCTATTCAATCGGAAAAATGGTCTTCAAGAGATACTACAGAAATGGTAAGAGCTATCAGACCCAGCTTGGCCAGTCATTCCTCTGGCGGCAGGGTGGAAGATTCGGCATCATTGAGCAAAGCCCCCGAGTCAGTGGAGCCACCTGACTTCTATTCAGCAACTGGATCTCCTCAGCTTCAAATAAATACTACAAAGTTCTCCCTGCCGTCGAGTCCTCCAGCTGTGCCTCCAAAATCCCCCGTGGGTGAGCAACCTGCATCAAGTCCGAAGCAACATAATCCTATTTCGGTGGAGTCCAAAAGAGGCTCTGATCAGTCTACCCCGAGCGGCGACCCACTCCCCAAGAAAGTCGAGTTGGATGAGGTTATACCCTGGAATGGTGACACCAACATTTACACACTCTTCAAAGCCATGTATCCAAACTACCCTGGGAGCAAAGGAGATTTTACTTGGTCCTTGGTGTATATCGAATGGCTCACAAAAGAGAGGGATAAGCTCCTGCCAAAATCATTATTTGATGATTTCATACGAGTGAATGTTACCGAGTACAAGGCTTATGTTCACCAGCCACGTCCTTCAAACCAGCAAGCCATTACAGGATATGAATTCTACAATAAAATTGCGAAACAGGGTGAATTCACAAAGGGTTTGATTAATTACGACAACTTACAGGAGGCTCTTTCGTCTCTCGACCAGGATAGAGTCGCAAGGTACAGGAAGGATTTCAATCAACCGCGCGAATCTAAACTTTCCACGTTACAAGATGAGAGGGCGGTGGCGCCTGAAGCTCATGCCGAAGAAGCCATGGAGGTCATGGTTACGGAATCATCTGCTCACCAAAACGTAATCAGTCCCGAGCTTGGGTCTACCAAATACTTCAGGGGCCCTCCTAGGAAACCCTTCTTCGAAACTTTCAGCCAGATGCCCTCCGCCAATCCCAGAGATACTTCCCTAGTGGACTCACACCTCAGAGAAGATCTCAACACGCCAACCAAGAGCAAAGATTCTGGACGCAGGCGTACTCTTCCCTGGCAGCACGCATCTTCTCCCTTGTCGGACCAACCCCCCTCTTCAGTAACGAAGCGTAAACGCTCTTCCATAACACCGGATCCCGCAAATCACTACAAATGCCTCAAAACCTCTGCTCAAGCTCGCCCAGCTTCACACCGAGAAGCAAGCTCGCCATCACCTCCCAACCGCCACCGGAATCTGAAATCATCCGCTAAGGCGCGACC